TCTCTCTCTCTCTCTCTCTCTCTCTCTATCTATCTATCTATACATCTATCTCACTTTTTCTCTCTCTCTCCTCTCTATCTCTCTCCTCCCTCTCTATCTATCTCACTTTCTCTCTCTCTCTCCTCTCTCTATCTATCTATCTCACTCTCTCTCTTTTTCATTCACTCTCTCTCTCTCTCCTCTCTCTCTCTCCTCCCTCTCTATCTATCTCACTTTCTCTCTCTCTCTCCTCTCTCTATCTATCTATCTCACTCTCTCTCTCTTTTTCATTCACTCTCTCTCTCTCTCTCTCTATCTATCTATCTATCTCACTTTCTCTCTCTTTTTCACTCACTCTCTCTCTCTCTCTCTCTCTCTCTTTACTCACTTTGCATTGAGGCTCAATATGTTGTATACAAAAATATCTAGAAATGAGCAAAAAAGGTTTTTCGTCCTTTTTGAAGTTGATTGAAGGCACAACCCCAGTGCGCCTCATACTTGGCCGTGTCATTTCTGAAAAGTTTCCTGAACTCGCGGTTTGCGGGCGGACGGCCAAAATTGAATTGGTTCCGAGTGCGAAAGGCCAAAGTGGGTGTGCAAACCGAAATTCCTCCTGGTTGCGAAAGTCGTCGGTTACCCAACGGCGAAGATGGGCCTTGAGGTCATCCAGGGGTCTCCGATAGCCTCCGCGTTGTCCCTTTCTACCGGCCGGTTCCGACACGTTTTCTCAGCGGTTAGCTTGTCTGAGTAGCCTTTTAAAATGAAAATTGCCGTTAAAAAACTCGATCCCGCTGTGAAAATCACTGAAACTAAAAGTATAGCCTAGAACGAAGACCTGCTAATTTATGAATCCGTGAAAGCCATTTAGAAAGTAAAAGCAGTTCAAGTGTATTATTATTTGGGAGTCTAAAGTGGAAAACAAAATATTCCTATATAAAAAGCGAAAGTAAAATGTTCTATACGCATGTTCTATGATCACATAAATAAAGTACTATATACCAAATAGTTCATACGAAAATTGATTTAATGTCCTAAAGGTGCAAAACACTTGGGTAGGTAACTCTAAAAAAATAGTGTAGAATATAAACTACATTTATTCAGCCATAATTACATTATAATACCCCCAAAATTCTTAAGACGTAAAGTTTAATGTGTATTTTTTGTGTTAATAGTAATATTTTCTCATATATTTGTATTAAATGTATATGTTGAGTACATATTAGTCAGGGTGTGTATAATACTGCGCCCTTAAACCCTTTAACCCCGTTCTCTGCTTCTGATATACCTAATCTTAGTTCATCAAGGAACTTGATTAATATGCCCGGTTTCATTGGTTGAATTTCTTTTACGGTTACCTTGTTAGTCCCAAAACACTTCCTCCTGAGGACAAGTTAGCACCACAGTTAGTAAGTGTGTTGTTGTTTCCTCACTTCTTTGTAGAACCTGCACTTGCCGTGTTGGGTTATGCCAACCTTCTTCAGACGGCCATTCAGTTTGCAATGCCCTGTTAAGAATCGTAGAATTCGCAGTTTTTTCCTGTTTCTTTTAATGCATCCTTCCAAAGTATGTTAGAAGGTTCTTGGATTGTTTGTGAGTTCCATTGTCCCCTTATTTTATTTTTGTCCTTCTGTCTGAGATGTTCTTTGATAGTACGGATTCTTATGACCCAGACGGGTCCTGTCAGCGTTATACCAGCCCTTTTTCTTCCAAGGGCGTTCGCTTTCTCATTGCCTTCTACTCCCAAATGTCTTGGGAGGGTGATGGTGATGGTTATGAGGATACAAGGAAGCGGGGTTTGTGCTCCCCAGGCACTGCAGCCTTCTGGCTTATTACACCTTCCTAGTTCCCTTCAGTGCAATCGACTCAATCCTTCTTCTTAGAAGTTTAGGTTATTGACTGTCGCTGCTACAATTTCATTCCGTAGGTTTTTTCTGTTTGCTAGGTTAAATCTCTTTTGAGGCGTTGCTTCGCATTCGAAGATGATATGGGTCGCTGTTTCCTTCTCCTCATTGCATAATCTGCAGATGGGATCATCGTTATTTATACCCATGTTGTGTAGATATCTCAGATACCAGTGACCAGTTAATAGTCCTATCACTACTTTGAGTCTAGTTCTTTCCAACTGCAGCAGCGAGTTTGCCAGTCTTGGTGAGGGTTGTATTAACGTAAGTTTACTGTGCCTAGCGCCGCTAGAGTTTATCCACAGCAGTGGGTGACTTTGTTTTGCATACCCTGTTTGTTTAGTTCGGTTTGCAATTCAGCACCATTTTTGAGCTAATGATGTATGACCTTAGCGCTTGCTGGATGCTTAGCTTTCTGACTTGAAACCCATTATTCAGATTGAATTGGTACATTTCTCGATTGCTTGAACCTCAGATGGAAGATACCGTACTTTCCAATGGATTCGGAGTGTTTGGTTCCGGGACGAAACTCCTGCCTCGTACCTTCTTCCGTTCTAGATCCGTCTGTGTACCAGTAGATGGTACCATTCTTAAAGGGGTGGTTTTCTCTCTTTGTCATTCTTTCGTGGCACCTAAGTTTATTTGGAAAGTTTGATTAAACTAAAACAACCTGTTCATGACAACTTTTGGAGCCATGAGTATCTTTCATTAGACTGTTGCTATCTCTCCATTTTATTTTTATTTTTATTGGCGTGTTTTTTTGCTAATGTTAATGATAGTTTTATGTGTTTAACTTAATATCATGCAGTAGAGAGGGATTACTACCAGTATCTTCTCCTTACCAGCTGTGGGACATGTTCTCTTCGCCCCTTGGTTATACAGAGCATGCTCTGTACTTTTTGTATTTTTGTGAGTCCTCTTCGTTTTGTTATTTGTTCTACTTTATCGGCCCAGGCTAAGGCGCCAAATGTGAGAATTAGAGAATCATGGTGATCATCCAAAACAGGGTTTATGGTCTGCATCTCCAATATTTTCCCGATAGTCTTTTGCACACCATTAAAGCCTCTTTCTTGATTGTGAAGCCGATAAGTTCCTTAAATGCTAGTGTTTTATCTAGTGTGACGCCTAGATATTTGGCCACTTTCTTCATTTCTATCACAGTTTTATTGAGTTTTATCTGCTTCATGTAATCCAATTTTCTTTCTCTGTATTTATAATAACAAATTATATATAACGATACCTTTTCTGTTTATCCTATTACTAAACATATTAAAGACTTTTTTTTAAATTATAAATGACATCTGTGAAATAGATTTTCTTAAAATTTATGTCGTTAAAATCCCGGAAGTAATGACCGGTTTGCTAGTGAAGATCCGTAATAGCTATTTTCACGTATTCCATTTGCTAAGGTGCTATTAACCGTGTGCTACTTGAATATACAGCGATTGACGCAACATTTTTTGATTGTTACAAAATTAAATTGGCGATTTGTATTCTCATCGTAAGAATTACCTTCGCGTGTTTTAACCGGTAATTATTTCATTTGAAGAAATAATAATGTGGAACGAGATTTTAAAATTGTTCTGTTGTGGAATTAAAACAACGGATTAGTAGTATTAGTAAATGTGGATTTCAATAAAATCAAGCTGAATTAATTTTTTTTAAACCAACAACAGAAAAGTTATAGAACGTGATTATTATTTTAAAAAAAAGCAAGGAAAGATAATAGTTGTTGAAAGCAAAAAAGCAATCCTTTATAATAAAATCTTTTATTGTAATTGTTTACTGTAACATTTGCGTTTATATAATGATGATGCAAAGTCGCACTTCCCGTTAAGGGACAATATACTCTTATGGCCACTTATTGCACTTGTCCTCGCTTCGCGAAGTTTCCCCTCACTTTCACATAAATAAGCAAGTTAGTAAGCCACAGGCCAAAGTCGCCCACGTGCCTATAACACTGTAAATGCGGTTATATGAGAGATATTAATGTAATGATTTTCTTTTTGTTTTAGTTGGCCATCATCATCATCATCATCATCATCATCACGATCATGGACATGACCATGTACACGACCACGACGAAGGAATCAACGATCACTCGTGAGAATTACAGATTTAAATGGAACGGCTGGAAATTCGCCCTTCTGACAATTTTTTTAAAAAATCTTTTTCTTTTTAACTAGTGCGCAAGCCGATGTATATACATTCAAGTTTTAACGGTTGGAAATATACCGAAAGATCTTTTTTTTCTACAATTTTTAAGAATTTTTTTTTACTAAACCAAAGCGTTTTTATTATTCTCCTATTTTTTTTTATTGTAGTTTTAAACTTTTGTTAGGAGTATAATTTCATATTTTGTTTTTGGTTTAGCTAGTTCTTTAATTTAAGTTAGTTTATATTTGGTTAATCTATTTAGAAAATAAACGTTCATTACATCAGGGTAAGACTGAATGGTGAACTTGACTGTGATTATACTTAATAATGAATACGATTGTAGGCTTATTACTTATCTAAAGTTTATAAGTTTATATATATGTATGTGTATATATTTATATATACGTACAAACACACAAAACTCCAAAAGAAATATATTTTGAATTATGTTTTTGTTATTTTTAAGAAGTGTAAATTATTATAAATATTAAATTATGTTTTATAAAATGAAGTTTGATTTTTCAACCTTGTTCTTTTGTATTAAAACACACACACACACACTCACTCACTTTCACCCTATCTATTTAAATGGCTAGAAGTTTTGGTTTGTATCTCAATGTTACCCAGCTCGAAATTCTTAATTTGAACTAAAAACTAAGAAAGATTACAAGGAAATATATTTTGAATTTATGCGCTTCTTATTTTTAAGATGTGCAAATTATTATAAATATTAAATTATGTTTTATAAAACGGAGTTTTATTGCTCATTCTGGTTCTTATAATTTTTCAGAAATCGTGAGATGCGGTCTGGTGTGATGTAGGTTTCAGAAAAACATTTTCTTTATCGTGCCAACGTTTCGGCCTTTATTGAAATCATCTTCAGGGCCTTGTGTTGTCTGCATTTCAACAAAAACGTTCTCTGATTGATAGCCGATGCGAGTTTCTTCTCAATGTTGGCGATGTCCTTCAGAATACTTTTTCCTTCGTGTCCATATGTAGTTGAAATTTGTTCATAGAATCCCATGTTCTTCGTTCTTCTCGTCTATCAATCAGAGAACCTTTTTGTTGAAATGCAGACAACACAAGGCCCTGAAGATGATCTCAATAAAGATCGAAACGTTGGCACGATAAAGAAAATGCTTTTCTGAAACCTACATCACACCAGACCGCATCTCACGATTTCTGAAAAATCATCGACTAACGGTCACTAATCAACACACACTTGTTCTTATTAAACGATAAAACAACACCTTTTTTTATACATTACAAAACAACTTTTAATTATATAATTTTTTTTTAAGAATCGGATCTCGTAATAGAAGTGAAGATAAATCTGATTCAACAGACATATATCAACTAGGATACAAACTAAAAAAAATCCAATTACTATTTCACTAGTTTACATGCCCACACGCATAATCTTTCAATTATCTTCTTTTTATTTATACATGTGCCCGTCAGTTGTGTTCACATTTTAATGTGTAAAAAATATTTGTTTATTTATTTTGTATTACAACACACACTTTCACCCTTTTTATCTAAATGGCTAGAAGTTTTGGTTTTATGAAATATTACCCAGCTCGCAATTTGGACTAAAAACTAAGAAATATTTCAATAGATTCAATTCAAGATTACAAACGGAATTGCCATCGTTACATCGTTGCACATTAAAATATATATCAACGATTAAATAAAAAATATAATACCTTAGCAAAGTTAAATGAGCATCAGTGATGATCTTTAATCATTTATTCAATGTATCTGAAACCTAGTGTATTTAGCCAGATAAAACTATTAAAAAGCTGAAATGTATGAAAAAATCAAGACATTTTACTGTGCTTTTATATATTCAAATGTAATAAAATTGATTAAATGGTACAAAAATTAGTTAAATTAGTAGAAACAAAAGGAATAATATATCATATATAAAATTCAGAAAATAAAATTTTCGCATGTAGCGTAAAACTTGTAAAAATAAGGTAGTGGATATAAAGTGTGCAAACTTGTTCACACCTTCCAACCACGTTCTGAAAATTCGGCCGTAAATTTTCGACTTTTTATCTATGGGTAAATGAAAAAACCTTGCACTATATTTTTGATGTAGTCCAAATATAATGGTGAAGAAGGAACTAGGCCAATGTCAGCTTGCGGAAATAACAAGACTCGATACGTTTTCCCTATGAATCAAAACTGTATCGTTGACTTGGTTGTTGTTAGACTAGTTGGATAAGCAATGGTTTTGGAAAGTGGTGTGTTTCAATGCATAACTTTTCACCTTTTCTCCATTTAGGATTTACAGAAACAACTTGAGAATACTGAAGACATTTGTATTTACTCCAGAACTTGCATTGTATGAATATCCTTTTAAAATCGTAGGATTAAACGGACTGTCTACTGATTTTTTCAATGCCAGCCAGATTATTGAATTAGACAACGAAGGATAATTAATATTCATCCTAGACTTGCCAACTAACGAAACTTTTTTTTTCGAAGTGCAACAATGAATGTTTCAAGGCTTTATCGATTCATGAGTCTCGTTACAGCTCAAGAAACTAATTTATTTTTCATCTCATGATCCGACGTCTTTTAATAATCAAAACGGTACGCGAACCCGAATATAGCGGACTCGCTTCCTTCGATTATATCTTTAAAAAACAACGGAATCGGAAACCCACAGAGTGGAATGAGTAATTAAGAACAGACCAAATCCTTCTAGTTAGTAGCGGGAATATAAAAATACTTTTGAAATTTACTACCTAACTCATGAAAGGTTTGGCGTACCGTTTTAGCTTTTAAGGAGTAATTTATAAATCTAGTAGTCTGAAAAAAAACACAAATTTACAATTACTGAATTTGACCTAATTCCAGTTTCCAGACTTCACTCTCCATTTCATTCTGAAAACGGGGACACCCAAAACATTGTTTCTTGTACAAATTTCTTTAAATAAAAAGGCTTAAGTTTAAACAGTTAAAAATATAAATATACTGAAGAGTCAATGAAGCTATTGTAGCTTTGATCAAGAACTGCCCATATGAAAGCTTTTTTCAGTAGGTTCAATCATTCAACGATTCAATGATCAACATAAAATATGTGTACTACGAATACAAAATATAAACTGCTCAAAAATGAATAGGGATATTTGTAATTTATTCTTATTCTATTAATTTTAATTAATTAACTAATATATTCTTGTTCTTTCTTATTTTTAAAAACGGACATACTTAAGAATAATAAAGACGAAGATTGCTCATTTTATAAACAAACACCTTTTCTCGATTTTCTCCTTTCTAATCCAGTTTATTCACTTTAACCATGGAAAGACATCATCTTGAACCAGAAGTTGGCAATAGTTTTGTGAGAATGAGTCATCGAGATCACCGGGAAGTGGATATCACAGAAGCAGTTGGCGTCACTCAGACCGTGGTCTCCCGGGATTTAGCCAGATTCCGGGAGACTGGAAGTGCCAATAGGATGCCTGGTAGTGGATCTCAACGCATTACGACGCTAAGGGAGGACAGAAATATTGCCATTGCTGCAAGACTGAACTCTTTCCATATTGCCCTCCAGATCCTGAATGAAGTACAAGATGTTTTGGCAAAGCATTTATCAACCCAAACTATTCTTATAATTTGTGGGAAGTTGGAGAAAATTGTATGCCCCTTTGAGACGGTCTGCAGCAACAGCCCGCTACCAGCAACTCGGAAGAAAATGATGCTTCTAGCGACTATAAGAGAACACTAATTGGAATGCTGTTATATTTACTGATGAGTCGCATTTATGTCTGTATGGTGTACAGCAGGCGCCGAAGAGTCTACCGAGAACGGGGATGCGTACAATGCCTCAGTTCGTGCTCCCTTCAGTGCAGTTTGGAGGAGGCGGTGTAATGGCTGGGATTTACACTGGAAGATAAATTGGACTCTATATTGTTGAAGGCAACCTCACCGCAGTCCGCTATGTCCAAGTAATTATCGAGGAATACGTCCCTCCAACCAGTGATCTCATTGGCAGGGATTGTCGATGGATGACGATGCCAGGCCTGATAGAGGTTGTTCATTAATATTTAGAAAAAATGGGAATTTCCCATCTGCTCCTTCCCCCATTTTCTCCAGACCTCAATCCCATGTGGGATGCGTTGCAGAGAAGACTTTTCGATCACCATCCGCAGCCAGTTGACCTTGTCCACCTATTGGAACTACGACGACAATGGATGGTACAGTGTAGACAAGGCTCAGTGTCCTGAAAAGGTGCACCTCATGTCCTCGTTCACGTCCCTTTCTCAATTCGGGTTCCTTCATTCTTCCTTGCGACTTCTCCCAACCCTTGGTTACACGGGGGGGGGGGTCCAGGCGCAAAATAACGGTGCAGCCTTGAGGGCGTGGCAACCTCTCTAAGGCACAAGCTATACTCGTGTCGGCAAGGCGGCGGCGGCGGCGGCGGGGGCTTTATCAGAGGGTTAGGGTACCAGATCCTGTCTGCATAGACGGGGGAGGGTGCATAACATCCTGTTCTACGGGGTAACAGAAATGTTTCAAGGTTCAGCCTTTGCTACAATGGGAATGGACTCGTAGTTGGTCGTGGCGAGGCCCCTGGCGAGTACTTAGAGAAGAGGCTGTAATTGTCGATTCACTATCTGTGAATTTCGCTCGAGCACTTGCGTATGACCATCGTTATTCACCCGGCCTCTCGGGATATGAAGGATCGGACCATCGAAGCGTATAGCGTTGAGGACGCTCGGACTACGCTGACTGTAGTGAATCGGTTGCGCCTATTCGAGTACGTAATGTACACGACTGACGGCTTTTACCGTACGTGTGGGAGGGGTTGTAGCAATTCCATTTAAACGAAACCGCGGCCGAAGTGGATCCGGAAGTTTCTACGCTGGGGAAGCCTCAATACTCTGAGAGATAGAGTGGCCTTCTCTATCTAGGGAGTGCGCGGGAAACCAGGCTGATGTATTTCGGCCTCGGTAGCCTTTTGCGCGCGGCATACGGTTCGATGCTTAATGCGGGCCCGACTACTCGGAATGGTCAAGGGGGGAGCGAGGTTTGTCTTCCGCGTATGCCCCTCGGGGCTGGGCGGCCTCTACACCAATGCAGCGGCAGTAACACACTTCTGTTGTATGCAGAGGTGCGTCAGCCCTCACATTGAGAATCA